AACAATACATTTTATGAGACCATAGTGAAGGATTCCAAATCTTTGGTGAAATTACGGCTTATGAACATCGCTAGTCAAGAAACCATGTTCAATCATGCTATTTTGGAAGCGCTTAAAAAGATAATCCATAACTGCACCGATTCCACTATCATCACTAATAACATTCTTACAGATATCTTCAAAAATATGATGAGACATAATCCAAAACAACGGCTCGTATTAAAGAACTACTTCATATGATTAAACTTCAAGGCTTATCTGTATTTTTTCTTCTTTTAGCTGCATCTAATTATTATGACCGAAATACATAATAATGAAACTAATTCAAGGAAACAATGTAATACCTAATCTTGGATATTCAAGCAAGATGTCTCAAGATTCGTACATAGGAAGATGATCCAGCAATGGGGAGCGCTATGGCGATGTCATAAATCTAGTAATACCCACAAATCAATCGATTTATTCACTCAACTCGGACTCCAAGGTGACAAGACGCGAACAAGTTTTAATTACACAAATTAGAACCGGTCATTCTAAAATTACACGCAGGTACTTGTTGGAGAATACCTCTCCACCACTATGTGATATGTGCCAAGTAAGACTATCAGTCGAACATATTACGTCCTGTCGTAAATATGAGCACATTAGAACTATGTATTTTAATCCAAATGAAATAGAGAAAATCCTGTACTCTGTCCCCTTTCAGAATCAGATTGTCAAATTTTGCAAAAACACAAATGTCATGCTTGAAATATAATGTTATGGTAAGCCCGCTCGTATCTCTAGAGCTGATGTGTTATGATAATACCCCGATGATATTGTATGATTATGTTACGAGTATGTAAGATAAATAATAGTATGTTATAACCTATATGTTAGGATGATTATGTTAATGTAATGATGTGTAACCCTCTAAAAGATATGTTATGACCATATCTTGATTATACTGTATGATGATGGTATGTAAGATAAATAATATGTTATACTGTATTATGTTATGACCTAAACATTCTGATACTTATGTTAATGTAATGACAGATGCCTTACTTGTCTGTAAACACCTGTAATAATAAATGTTGTCGCTAATAACCTTAGTCGTTGATGCGACAAAAAATAAATAGAAAAACTGTATTCTGTATTACTGATATATCTTCAATATTTTGAAAATTCAAATTCAATGAAAATTACTATTGGCCATTGAATTTAGTGTGTTGTGCTCAATTCTCCAAAACTGTTTTAAGAAAACAAAAATATTTACTCACTGGAAATTGAAACAGAACCCTTCCGGTGACAACTCATGATCTAACCGATTTTTTTGACGAAAAAAAAACTTGTTTGTATACCAACAATATAAACAATTTTCATGATAACTTTTAAATTTATATATAAATCGTATACAATCTAGTTCAATAAAATAACACGTCATCAAACAATTTCTGGGAGTGCGGTGTTTTAATTTTCTCACAACAAACACAACAGAAATATTCACAATATATAGAAACACTGCAATACAGGAATTTACAAAATTGTAACTAAACGTTACTCAAAATTAAGAATGTAAATGGAACGTACATTTGGAATAATTCATGAAGAAGAATTTAGAACTTCATGAAATTGTTTCATTTGAAATGACAACTTTCGAGGTCCGGCTTCTCTCTGCCAGATACAATTCTCCTGTCTATTCGACTCTATTCCCCATTAACTCCTCAATATACTGTTCTGCATCACTACATAAGTGCCAATCTTCGCGGCGTTTAGTAGAGGTTCCTTGGTAAATGAATCCATTTCTTTAACACCACGCATATGAACAAATAACAACTGTCAATCATCTACCAATAGTTACGTATCCAAGATAGTCTAGCTTATCTGACATACCATGCTACTTACACTGCTTCATAAATCATTTATCCCTTTTAATAATTTTGTAATGTGGTTATACCAAAATATATTATGCAGGTCGTCTATAAAGTTGCTTTATTGCATTCCTACAAATTTGAAATGTCGCTTCTAAGGTCTAATTTTTAAAATGTGTACTCAAGAAATAAATTACACGTAAATACTGTAAACTAGTTGCATAATATTCTATTCTTGGCTTCTGATACCGAAGAAGTGTTGTTTTTTTCTGTCCGCCCTTCCGTCGGTTAATAAAATTACCGTTTAACCGTGCTACATACGACATTCAAAAAACTTATATTGTACTATGGATCTGACTGATACAGAGGATCCTCATTTTCCAAACAGAACTTTTGTGTTCTCAGGGGTGTTTCTGAGACTTTGTATTATATCTCTATGATATCTCCCACATTTTCTCAAAATCGCTCTAATGTTCATTTTTCTACACGAATATAAAATTATGCGACGCTTATAAAAACTGGTCAAAGGTTTTTAATATAAATTTAATTGAATTGTTTCTGCAGTTTGAACAACTTAACTTAAAAAGTGTAATTGCGTAAATGAATATCAACTGGTCTACTATGACAGTTTAGTGTCCGTAGTGTTATTGGCTTATATGCGAAACATGTAGGTTTATATTACTAGGCAAGGTTCTTCCAGGCATGTCTTCAATTATCAGCAAAGTCTGGTATTAACCACGCAACATTTTTTGGGACATTAAAAACACATCTTCATTGACAGAACAAAAGCTATTTGCCGTTGAAGAAGAAAACTCGTGTTTGCGTTTTTCTCAAAAAATATAAAAAGCAAATGACTGATGGAGGTGCAGTACCTATAAAGGAGATAGCTCTAAGCTCGAGAAGTAGACAAAATTAGGAGAACATATAATTCAGTGAACGCAAAATTATTGAGAAAGTTACAATTATTTGAAAAAGGGAACATGACTCTGATGCATCCTTAAGTAATGTTTTGTTGCGCTTCTGCTTACACTGAAGCAAGGAATTCGACGTTGCGGAGAATAAAGATTAAAAGAGTCAATAATAATTTCTATTCTCTATAAACGCCTAGTAAAAAAGGTAACATTCAAGACACCAATTGATCTTTCTCTAATTTACTATTTTCTACGTATTTTCATCAACATTCCACAGATTTTTGCCGTGAAAGGTTGATTTATAGTATTTTAAATATTTAATAAAGTTTCTCGTGTTAGATACTATTTCGATTGACAGAGTTGATAAGAATTAATTTATTATAAATTCGTCAAGATTCATCTCTTTAGGCAAAAGAAATCAGTATGCTTTCCAGGTCAACACCCTTTCCAGCAATGCATTGCACTGAAATGTGGGTTTCAATTTCATTTTCCAGAGAGTGGCATTTCTTCAAAAACGTCTGTGGTCGATTTTAACTAATACCCCCAGGACCCACATTTCTCCAATCGGTCAAGAAACGTTGCGCGGTTAATACCAAGCCTCTTTGATCGACCTGCAGTTCCAAAATCGATTGCGAGAGGACGCGTGGGTTGGATCGAGGAGGAGTCGGTGCGCGCCACTTCCCTCACTGCTCACGTGTGTTAAGGGCATGCTCTACCCCAGGAGGTGGTGTTCCCTAACCCGCAGGTGATGTGCGGAGCCGACAACATTCATTACTCTCATTTAAACAGAATGCCACTTGAAGGTCACGAGCTGAACGGAGAGGGGGATGCTGTCATCCAATTAGAAGTTTCGTTACGGCTTAACTTTTTGGAATTCGAACTCGCGATTGTATAACAATGTAGCCCTCTCCTTGCAGCTCGTGACCTTCAAGTGTCAGTCAGTTTAAATCGTACAAGGTCTCTACAGGACACCCTACTTGCATGGTAGTGTAGTGTATGTCGGTAAGGAGAGAGGAGGGGTAAGTATGCGAAGGCAAGATTTCGCGCTGTTCGTCACCCGTTTGTTAGGAACTGCTCCGCAATTCGACAGGTATCGGAAGAAACTGTGGAAAACTACCGATCCGAGCTGGGGATCGCTGGAATTTTCCTCCACAAGGTTAGAGTTCCGACGGAGCCGACGTGTGTGTTTGGGAATACTGTGAAAGAACTCTGTCTGATCGGACTCAATTGACGGGGCCTCTCGGTGAGGGCCGCTGCGGCGTCAACGGTTGTAGACGGTCACATCGATCTCAGCGCTCAGGCCTCTGGAGGGCCAGGTCTGCTGTGCACTGTGTGCTGCCCGCGAGACAGCAAGTAGAGATGGCAAATTTTATCAAAACATCGATACAGCACCAAAAGATTTTCGATGTCGATGAAAACATTGTCCTAAAACATCGATGCTCTAAATATTATAAAACAAGTGGTATTTTTCTATCTTATTTCCCGTTTTAATTAAAGTACTTAATTAAATGAGTTATATTTTATTTGGTCACGTATAAGAAATATGTTAACGATGATTATCGAATGTAAAGAAGGAAATAAAAAATAAAATGACATCGTGTTTCGCAATTATTACGCTTATCCACTTTCATTCAAAAACCATTAAAGTAAAACGTCCTATATGTAACATACATAATACATAAATAACAGTTTAAAGTATATCTTGCCTTAAAGCACAGTCACCTTCCTTTGCTAATCAATAATCTGCACACAAGGCTTATAATTCAGTTTAAATTTTTAAATTCAGTACAAAATCATCAAAATTATAACGTAAACGTTTTTTAAACATCAATGTTTCTGGAAAAATACGTTCATCTGAGATAAAAACAAAAAAGAAAACATTGACGTTAATATATCGATATTTTTATAGAAAATATCAATGTTTTCAAAACATTGAAAAGAGAACATCAATGTTAATGTATCAATGTTTCTGGTGGAAAATATCGATGATTTTATAAACATTTTTTGTTGTTGATGGTTCTGGTTTATTTATTGTTGCACCAACAACGTTGGTCATCAGCGACAATTGCATTTTACATTTGGTTACAAGAGTAGTAGTGTACAGTTGTTATGTTATCATAATGATTATATTTACAACAGTTGTTGTTTTTGTTTTGTGCGCTGTCCTCGGCGCTGTGAGGTTGGGGCCACTGCGCCGCCACCGACGCCGCCGCCGCCAGCGCCGCCGCTATAAGAGCGCGGAGCGCGCCGGTCGCCGCCACTGAGCGTTTGGAGCAGCGCCTGACAGCTCCTCCGAACGCCCCTTCCGCTCAGCCACTCAGCGCAGCGTCCAGCGGCAGAAGCAGGCTCCGTCCAAAATGGTGAGTCACGACCACAATCGGACACCTACGCGCGAAGTGGCCTGCCATTTCCGTTTATGCTCGGTTTTAGAACCCACACACGCTTCTCCATCATGCCACTTCGCGTCGCAAAATGGCGTTGCTCCAATGCGAAACCGTTCAAACGTATCTTCCACTATTTGCATCCGTGTGGATAATAGCGTTGCTGAAAAGCTGTGTTTTGTTGATATACGTCATTTCGAAAATAAACTCTTCAATTCTTAACCGCAGACATTTTTTACTTCTCGTCCCTGCGCTTCAATATACCACCAGGCGCGTGAGCTTAGGTGCACTTTGGAAAACAGTTGTTGTGGAATGAATTGTGGCACAACTGTTCCCGTTGTGTTGGTGTCGCGTTCGCGGCTTATATTCCCGTCAGTTTCGTGTATTTAGAGTTTTTTACCGTAAAAAGCGTCGCACATGAGCAAACATTCAATATGTTACATGTTAATTAGGCAAACATTGAGTTTTATTGTTTTTATTTAGAATTGTAATTCCAAGAAAAACGTGATATCTTACAATACATTAAGTTGTTCTTTAGTTAAAGACTATATTCGCAAGTGTAAAACGTGTGCTATTTTTTTTAATTTTTGTTGGAAAGAATGAAGTGAATGTGTCACATTTTGAATGTTTGCACGTTGCGCAGACTCACGATTGTGTTTTGTAAATGGCGTTGGCCGTGAACCAGAGCTTCGCCGTGGCCGCCATGCGCGGAGGAGCGTGACCCGCGCCCAAAGACCGCGCACCGTAGTCCGCGCTCAGGATTGAGAACCCGAGAAACGTGTGCTCCCCAATGCGAATGCCAAGAACGCTAACGGGATGAGGGAGAGCGCTATGAACTTGTAGCGTCAAAGAAGAGAGCTTCATTACACAGTTGCCGAAGAAAATGCACTTTTCGCTTTTTTTTTCTTTTTCTTTTTTTCTTCTTCTTTTTTTCCCCACTCTTTGATTTTCTATCTGTCGGTTGTGTTTGAGTGTGCTGCTATGAATAATAAATACGTACACGAAATAATATTATCAGTAAAAAAACAAAATGGTGAGAATGAAAAATGCACCAACTACAACGAACTTACGGAAAATACAACTAACATTTTATCAAAAAACGAACTACTCCAACGTACTTTAACGAAATACATATTTTTTTTTAATTTTAGGTATGAATTTTCATTTAAAGTTTTAACATGTGTAGAAAAATAAACTATAATTATTAAAAATAACCAAAGAATAAATGACTTATAAAACCCGTCTCAAACCCTAACTTCGCAAACCCACTCTCTAACGCCAATATCGCACTGTACTCTCGACTGCGATTCAGACCAGACGCATGACCACCTGGAAAACTTCGCTGCCATTTGCTCCATTTTCATTGGTTGAGAGGTTTCCCGTTCCCGGAACAATGTGAATGTTGACCATCCTTCCCGTTGCCGTCGTATTCTGAACGCGTACCTGTGATGTCCGTTTTTACTTTCCGGTGTACATTCGTATGTACGGAGTAAACTACGGAGTGTAGGGAAGTTATGTAATGCTGCGCGAAACAACGGCGGGTTTTCGGCAGAAATAAATTTATTGCCGATCACTGACAACGAAAAAGCGGATAAATCCAGTTGCTAAATTAATGGAAAAAATAATCTTCTAACACGTAGTGTAGCCAGAAACCCTGCTTTGTGGGCCCTTCATACCGAAAAATCAAATAATGGAAAAACATCCGCGTCTGTCCATCTGTGTAGTACACTACTAGCGCCTAAACCATGCGTAGGATTTTTTTCCGAATTGAAGAAACCCCTGTCCATCTGGCCCAAGTCCAAGCTTTAAGATTTTGAAAATCCTTCTTCAAAATTAGGGGGTACTTTACATGATGCCCTCTGGACATTTACAAAATTTTCTCAAAAACAGCTCTATATTTTTCCTTTAAATTTCTTGTGAGAATTGAGTAACATATACTTAAAAAAGTGGGATAGGTCCGATTTTCACGGTTAACTCTAGAATTTCGGAAACTTCAAAAGTATAAGTTTTTTTCGGAGTCTTCCTACAAATTTGTTGACCATAGTGAATTCTTTCAATAAGGTCATATACATTTTTCTGAAACTTAGTAGTTTTCGCGCAAAATTGCGTGCAATATTTGCAATTTTTAAAAAATTACAAAAACCAGATTTTTTCAAAAACATATCTAAACTTTTTCTTTAAACTATTAGTAAGGATACTGCTAAATGTACTGTATAAGATGACATAGACGCCATAATGCTCTAGTCTGTTTTTCCAAAAATTACAAAATTTTAATTTTTTGATTTGTCTCGCGTTCTTAATATTTATATTAGCAGCGATTTGTTCACATTATTATATTTGAGAATATGTACTTTCAAAAAAGTCAAATAGTTTCCCGAGAACTCAACTATTTTTGTAAAAACTAGCTCAAAATTCCGCACTTTCAGAATAACTCAAACGCCATTTTCTCAAAAACGGCTCCAAAATTTTCCATCAAACTTTACGAACAGAAAGTGCTAATTGCACTCTTTAATAAGACATAAAGTTCATTTCTTTTTTTCCGAAAATTACACAAATGTAATTTTTTGAAAGATTTTTCACGCCGTTAGTATGCATATTTCCAGCAATTTGTAAACACGGTTTTTTTTTGAGTTTAAGTGCTCAAATGACGTCAAAAGAAGTTTTTCGAAAACTCGAAACTTTTCTGTGAAAGAGCATCAAAGCTCGAATTTACAGCAGTCCTTATTTTCCTAAAAACGGTCCCAAATTTTTCAAAAAAATTGCTTTTTATTACGAGATTTTACTGGCCTTTAATATTCTTAAAATAAAATTTCCATTCTACTATTAGGAAACCGAAAAATTGATATTTTTTAAAAAAATTGTACTTCGTGCGGCGAAAGATGGGGGCTGGCAAGAGTGTGTGACAAGTTCCGAGATCAAAAGAAAAGAAAACTAATAAGTATGTGCCATTGTGTTGCGCCACTAGTTCAATTCTCTGTACGTTCCCGATCGCATACCGCGGAGCAGCCTTAAGGCCATCGGCGTCAGCATGTTGATACGTTGGCAATGTCGCGCTGGCGCATTGCGGGTCAGGGTCTGCGCCTTGAGGTCCAGGAGTCGCCCGCTCCGTCAGGCGGCCTACAAGACACGCCTGGATGCCACGCCTACGACAAGTCTGAGGCAATTTATTTTTTAGGCAGCCACCAGTAAAAGCTGTTCTTTCCAGGCAAGCTTAGCGTAATAAAGTCATTTTTTAGCAGTAGTGCTAACATTTAGACGATACTAAAGTGTTCAGATATATCTGTGAATGCAACAACGAACAAAATTGTTTCGAGTGACCACATCAGCCAGCTACTACTGATCTTAAGGGAGCAGATGCACCTTAGACGTTATGAAATTATATTTTTAAATACAACTTTTTCTACGCGTTAATTATTTACGAATATTATGGTGAAAAAATATTTAGATATCTGCAATAGTTTTCTAGTTAGGATTTAAAAGTATGTCACTCCATCATACATCTTTTAGAGTAGTAAGGTAGACAAAACTCACGCATTAAATATCGTCGCTTGTGTTCCTGAATTACAGTTTTTGTGACCCGTTTCCCTTATAACTAAAAAACTAATCATGTTAATGCTATGAAATTATTAGGAAATGTTTCGAGTGCTATTCAGTTACGCTTAATTTTTTTTAACGTGGTGTCTTAAGGTCACGAACGGAAAAGGGAGAGCGAAGGCAGATTCCAATGGGGAGCCGTAAAAGTGCGAGCGGTATTGTCATCGCAGCTCCCTATTGGAGTCTGCCTTCGCTCTCCCTTTTCGGCGCGGGACCTTGACACACCACGTTAAACAAAAAAAAAACAATAAAAGCAAAGTACAGATGCCACCCAATGCAGAAGGCCGGCTCTTCGCGGCAGCGGAACACTTCGCCCGGAATGCTTCCCCAAGAATTCAACCCGATGGGGTGGGACGGCGCTACGAGTTGCCTGGGGAGGCGTTGGCGTGCTGTGCAGGAATTAACGTCTTCATCCCACTAGCGAGCGCTTGTTATGGGTGTCGCTCACCATCTACCTTTCTCAGTAATTGCAATGCAGTCACGAATACTAAAAGACTCACGACCAAAATCAAGGCGGAAATAAAACATATTTTCAAAGCGAATATGTGATGTTTAAGCTAATATTCGGCCGCGGAAAATTAATAGCACATAGACACACAATAACTGGCATGCAGAAGCAAATTTAAATATCGTACCATGCGTTTAATACGATAGAATGAGTTTTTGAGATGGTTCTTCATTGGTTCATGAAAAAATGTATCCTGTTTTTAATTGAGAATGAGTTAAACGTTTGTACTTTTAGAAAGTTCAACGGTTTTGATAAAATCGAACATAAATCGTGTTTAAATGTGCTCTGACATGTAAATATTCGAACAAGAAAATAATAGAAAAATTTGGGAAAAGCATTGAAGTGTTGAACATGTACTAGCTTTTAATAAAGTACCCTCACAATATTTTTAATACTTTAATATTTTATAGAACCTGAAGTTGAGACAAATCAAATGGATTGTGTTTCGTAAAAGATCCTGATAAAATATTATTTTATATGATCTCCACAGCATTTGTGATTCCGCTGATTATGCAGTCCTCTTTGCTCCCGCTCTTGTTCCTCCACAGCTAATGTCACCAATTCCTCTTCGGAAGGATCAATTCTATTACCATCTCCTCGTCATCGCTACTGGAATAAGTGGCGCTCCGTGCCGTGCCGTGCCGTGCTGTGCTGGGCCGTACGTAATGGGTGCCTCACTAGCCAAGAACAGCGGCGCCGTGCGGTGTCGGGCGGTCCTAATGTGTTCCTTTCTTTAGTCGGAATATATATTCTGTCCGAACAAAATTCCGTGTCGTACTATCAGTAAGGAATTACTATTGTTTCTACCCGAGAATTCTGATTGGCAGATAAATTGGCTTTTATAGAACGCACAATGAAATGATGCTTTGTATGTCTC